ATTAAATATATTTATATGCCGCCCAATCCCGAAGGACTCCGGGCGGCTTACAAAAAATGTAAGAAAAACACAAAACATAAAAGAAAACAGTTTAAAAATACCAAACACCCTCATACATTCATTCTAATCGGGGCTGGACCTCAACAATGAGGTCAACAGCCCCAGGCCTGCCGGAACAGCCAGGTTTTTACAGCTTTCCTGAAGGCCATGAGAGTGGGCGAGGCCCGGATTTCTGGGGGTAGTTCGTTCCAAAGGGTCGGGGCAGCCACAGAGAAGGCTCTCCTCCGAGGCCTGCCAGCCGACACTGTCTGGCTAACGGCATCTGAAGGAGGCCCACCCTGTGGGATCTCACCGGCCGTTGGGAGGTATGTGGCAGTAGGCGGCCTCGCAGACCGCCTTAGCATTGCATTAGCATTGCCGGTAGAGATCCCAGGAGACAAATCCTCTGCAGGGGAGCCGTAATCCATGCCCACCTTTTTGGCCTCTCTTATAGGCTTGGCTGGCGGATGCCGAGAGCAGGATGCTGAGCAACCGCCCAGACGCAGTTACCCGCTATAACCGCCACGTGGATCCTGCCAGTGCCCTGAACAACAACAACTGCACCCATGAGAAGGACAGGTGAGAGCAAGCAATCAAAGAAGAGCCACTTTGAGGTTCCTGAGATGGGACCGAGACACTCGCACCACAGTTCCAGCTGCCGTGGTTCCTCCGGAGTCATCCCGGAGATTGTGGTGCTGATCTGCAGGATTCCTAGGTCTTTCCTCAGGATCCGGCCAGTTGCTCCTCCTCTCGAGCAATTCTGAGTCTTCAATGAAGTTAGAACTGGATTTGAAGGGAAAAGACACATCCTGTCCAGGTTTGAGGTCACTTTTTCCCCCCCTTTCCACAAAAAGCTGGAGACAGATTTCTTTCCCCGACAAAACTTTTTATCTACGAAAACAAATAGTCCTCGTTCATCACAATTGGGAACAGCAACTTGGCTGTTATGCAAAGTGCTCAACAAAGCAAGAATCATATAACCATAACTGTATGAAATGATTTTTACTTCATGTTTCCTATGCTTTACACAACCAGAAGGAGACGTCCTCCAAAAATTAGGAAGAGGAGAATTGATATTTGTCTCATTCATTGGACATTCATTGGAAAGGAGGAGGATTACAAGAAAGTGGGGAGGACACCTGCAAAGGAGTGTGTTTTGTGGATATTTGCCTAGCACACACACACACACCCCATATAGGAGGCAAATAAAAGCCTCTAGTGCAGGGCTGGGTTTCAACTGGTTCGCACCGGTCCCTGCGATCCGGTTGGTCGCCGAACCCGGAAGTAAGTAACTTCCGGGAACGGCGAAGCCCCCCGCCCGCGCGCGCCCGCACACCCGCGCCCGCTCCTTACCTGGTTTTTTTGAATTTCGCGCTTTCCACGCATGCGCAGAACGCCTGCGCGATCCTCAAGGAGCAGCTGGAGCATCGCGCAGACGCTAATACGCAGGCGCGCGCCACGCGCGTGCGCGAGGACGCCGCATGC